TAAGTTAGTTAGTATGTTTGTTTGTAAGTTTGTTCATTAGTAAGTTAGTTGTTAGTTAGTAAGAAAATAAGTTAGTTAGCAAGTTAGTTGTTAGTTTGTTAGTCAGGAAGTTGTTTTTTGTTAGTTAATAAGTTGGTTGTTAGTAAGTAAGAAAGTTAGTTAGCAAGTTAGTTGTTAGTTAGAAGGTTTGTTAGACTGTAAGTTAGTTAGTAAGTTTGTTAGTTAGTAAGTTAGTTAACAAATTAGTTAGTTAGTATATTTGTAAGTTTGTTAGTTAGTAAGTTTGTTAATTTTGTAAATTAGTTGGTAAGTTTGTTAGTTAGTAAGTTAGTTAATTTAGTAAATTAGTAAGTTGGTTAGTTAGTATGTTTGTTTGTAAGTTTGTTAATTAGTAAGTTAGTTATTAGTTTGTAAGTTTGTTAGTCAGGAAGTCTGTAAGTTATTTGTTAGTTAGTTAGTAAGTTATTAGTTAGTTAGTTAGTAAGTTTGTTAGTTAGTAAGTTATTAGTTAGTTAGTTAGTTAGTTAGTTAGTTAGCAAGTTTGTTAGTTAGTAAGTTTGTTAGTAAGTTAGTAAGTTTGTTTGTGAGTTTATTAGCAAGTTTGTTAGTTAGTAAGTTTGTTAGTTTTGTAAATTAGTTGGTAAGTTTGTTAGTTAGTAAGTTAGTTAATTTAGTAAGTAAGTTAGTTAGTATGTTTGTTTGTAAGTTTGTTAATTAGTAAGCTAGTTAGTTAACAAGTTAGTTAGTTGTTAGTAAGTTTGTTTGTAAGTTTGTTAGGAAGCTAGATTACTAACTAACAAAAAAAAGTTAAATTTTCAATTGTTTTGTTTATATGTGGTATTTAATTCTCATTTACACTTTATTTATTATATATTTGTATAATCTTATAATATGTATATTTATCTTATATTATATTTATTCAATATTTAATGTATATGTTGTGTTTAATACAATGTAATACTGAAAGTGTCCTTCTGGTGTGTGTGTTTGTGTCAGCGTGTGACTGCGAGCGTTCGGGCACAGAGTCGGGCGGCTGCGATAAACGCACAGGCTTGTGCCGCTGTAAATCAGGCATTACTGGCCTCCGCTGTGACGTCTGCGCCCGCGGCTATTGCGCCAGTTTCCCAGAATGCCCGGCGTGCCCGTCCTGCTTCTTCAGCATGAACACGCGTCTGCAGGAGCTCACGCTCAGTCTGGAGCGTCTCTCCAACTCCCTGCTGTCCTCTAGTGGACGACCAACATCTAGCGACTCGAGCCGCAGGATCCAGACGCTCCGGGACACACTCGCTCTGATCCAGGAGTCCGTGTCTGTTCCCCCGCAGTCCAGCCGCGCCCTGACCGAAGCCCTGCAGAGACTCAACACGCTCTGGTACACACACACACACTAACCCTAAACCTACCCTTCACACACTCACACTTCAACTAAAGCTTGGTCAGAGTTGCTGTAACGCTGAGCCGTGTGGCTCTGCTCCTCCAGGTCTCAGATGAAGGGCTTGAGAGTGGATCTGCCGTCTCTGCCTCGGCACCGAGAGCTGGAGCGAGAGCTTGACGAGCTGCAGTCGCTCCTGTCGTCTCTGAGTCTCCAGTACTTCAGCCGCAGAGACGCCTTCACCAGCGCCGCCGGACCCACCAACGCCAGTGCGTATCTGTAGCGCATGATTCTTCATTGATCATTCTGTAGCATGAGCGCTAATTAGCGTTGGGTATCGTTTGAGTTTTAACGATTCCGATTCTGCTTATCGATTCCTAATTTCGATTCCAAAAAAAAAACTTAGATATCATTCACATTTAGGGCTCTATCTTGCACTCGGCGCAAATGACTTTGTTCACTGACGCATGTATCATTCCTATTTTGCACCCGCGCAAAGCGGACTTTTCCCTCCACAGACACACGTCGGTTAACTAAGAAATACACTTGCGCTCCCCGGGGCGGTTCAGCGCAAAGAGGAGGCGTGTTCCGGCGCAAACTTTCCCTCATGCTATTTTGCTGTTCTATAAAACAATTGCGCCACTGACCAGAAAAAAACTAGTCTAAAGTCAGTGGCGCGTTGCGCGTTGTTCATTATGCTATTTTAAGCGCGCATGCTTGGCCATAATGTAGCGGGTGCACAACGCGCATACACCTTGATTCTCTCATCAACACAGATGCAGCAGTTTTTATTTTTGCAAATCATACATTATAACAAGGAAAAATATTAACACATGAGGGAAATCATTGTGGTGTCCATGAAAATTTAGTTTTTTTCCTCCCACGCCTGTTTAACCGACGCTGATTTGTATGGGGATGGGAGAAACCCACCCACGATAGATAGATAGATAGATAGATAGATAGATAGATAGATAGATAGATAGATAGATAGATAGATAGATAGATAGATAGATAGATAGATGATAGATAGAGAGATAGAGAGATAAATAGATAGATAAGTCTGATTTGAACGTTGAATTTCTTGTTATTTCTGCATGCATTCTAGCCTACTTCAGACAGTCAATAAACAGTGCCGTCTGAGGGTGTTACTGCATGAGGGTTTATGCCATAGTTTACAGGTGCACGCAAAACACGCAATACAACGTCACTTCTCTGTCTTTCACGGTCCTGACAAGAACGTCGGTCTCCTCGGCTGTGAACCGCTGCTGACGCGCGCCTGGTAAATCCGCCGTTATAATAGCAATCCGCCATGCAACAAGCGCGCCTGCTCTTAAAGGGAATGTGAGATGACGCTCTGATTGGTTTATTCCACGTTACGCCCAAACCACACCTATGAATAATGAAGCTACTTCAGGCCAACCTCTTTTAGATTTGCGCCAGGCGCAAGAGGCATTTATCCCGCCGGGAAAATAGCAACAGCGCCGGGATCCGCCCACAAAGTTACTTGCGCTTTGCGCTTTGACACTTGCGTTTCAGATCGTTAAAATAGGGCCCTTAGTGTTATTGCTAAAGCTGAAACTGCAGCTGAATATCATGAGCAGAAATCATCAGCTGAAGAACACTTACACAAGCAGCGTTTGCCTGAGGTTTAAACACACCATAGAAGAACAACTAGCCCAACTAATACACACTTTCAGCATTATTACACACAATAAACACTCAGTCATTACACAAGAACACATAAAACATTAGCGATCGCAACAAAGATATGATTGGATTAAACAGTGTTTTAAGATCAAATGTAAAATAACACTGTACTTTATAAATAAAATATACATTACAAATATAGTTACAGTTATTCAGTGAAGAGCGAGTGTGTGTTCTCTGTCTTGTGTTGTGTGATTAGTGATAGAGACGGCAGGAATATGAGCGCTGTCACTTTAAGAGCTGCACGGGTCCAATACACTGATACACATGAGGACAGAAAGTATTGAAACGCTCACAAAGAAATCAATAAGAGGAATCAATATTTAAATTTTATAACAAGTGTCCGATTCCTGACCTCAAGTATTCAATTCCCAACTCTATCGAATAATGGAAACTTCTTCACTCTCAGGTGACTTCTACGCCATTCAGAAGTCGTATGAGAAGTCGACAGACGCCGTCAAGCGAGCCGACGCCACCAAAGACGCCCTGAAGAAGTCCGAGGGCGTGCGAGAAAACGCCCTGAGTGGCCTGGACGCCCTGCAGCCCGGAAACACCGAAGACCTGCAGAACCTGAAGACGGACCTGGAGACGCGGCCCAATCTGACTCCCGCCGCCACCAAGGTGAGATCATCGCTGACGGGAAGGGTTAGTTATAGAGGAACGGGTCAGTAAAGGTGTGTTTAATAGGTTTGTGGCAGTGATCGTGTGGAGCCCTGCACTCCGGAGCGCTGTGGAGGCGACCTGTGTCCTCCGGACGGAGCGCCCCCTTGTGGAGCGGAGGACGCCTGCACAGGAGCACTGCCCAATGCCAACAAGGCCTTTCAGGACGCCGACGAGGTCAAGGCCAAACTACAGGATCTCAACGACAAGATCACCCAAGCAGCGGAGCAGGTACCACCAGTCTTACTATATCTTATTTATACCTATTACATACAACAATAAAAAATATTATAAAGAAGTGAACGTTCAATAATAAAAATTAAATGTGTAAAAATAAAATGTGTTATTAAATTTAATGTTAAACAAGCCAAAAATTATGATGAATAAAATTGATATTGGGAAACATAAAGATGCAATTATGAGAATTAAAAGTTGCACTTGTAAATATTGAATAAAAAATAAATTCATAATAAATATTTGTATAAATTGTCAATAAATAAACAAAAATTTAATTATAAACATTACATATAAAAATAACAACATTATACATAAGTTAATATTAAATTCATTAAAAAAATATGAAAAAGTCACAATTATGAGAAATAAAATTGAAATTGTGAAATATAAAGATGATGACCAGCTAGAAAGACTAATAAGACTAGTCAGTTTTGATTTTACATTGACTTATGTTGACGTTGACTGTCTGAAAAAACAGATACAGGAAGCTGAAGATTCGGCCAATAGGGTGCGACTGTCCACTGACAAGCTGGCCAATCAGATCAAGCAGGTGCGAGCCGACGTGGACGGAGATCTGAAAGACACCAAAGACTTCATCAACACACTGAGGGACTTCCTGTCAGGTCAGTAACACACTCACACACACACACGTCATTGCTTTAATTTATTTTGACATGCTGCACACTGTGAAGTATATACCATGAATTTATTCATAAAGTAGTATGTGAAGCAGGAGGATCTATTATATAGCGCTTTTAACAATATGGATTGTTTTAAAGCAGCTTTACAGTGATTATAGGAAATTAGAGTAACAGAGATTGTTTTGGCTTTACAGCAGCTCTAGAATAAAGTAGTATTTAGTATGGTGTTTTAAATCGCAGTAGTTTTTAGCGTGGCGTTGTAAAGCGCTGTAGTGTGTTGTAAAGTGCTGTAGTGTGTTGTAAAGCGCTGTTGTGTGTAGTGTGTTGTAAAGTGCTGTAGTATGTAGTGTGTTGTAAAGCGCTGTAGTGTGTAGTGTGTTGTAAGCGCTGTAGTGTGTAGTGTGTTGTAAGCGCTGTAGTGTGTAGTGTGTTGTAAAGTGCTGTAGTGTGTAGTGTGTTGCAAAGCGCTGTAGTGTGTAGTGTGTTGTAAAGTGCTGTAGTATGTAGTGTGTTGTAAAGTGCTGTAGTGTGTAGTGTGTTGTAAAGTGCTGTAGTGTGTAGTGTGTTGTAAAGCGCTGTAGTGTGTAGTGTGTTGTAAGCGCTGTAGTGTGTAGTGTGTTGTAAAGTGCTGTAGTGTGTAGTGTGTTGCAAAGCGCTGTGTGTAGTGCGTTGTAAGCGCTGTAGTGTGTTGTAAAGTGCTGTAGTGTGTAGTGTGTTGTAAAGTGCTGTAGTGTGTAGTGTGTTGTAAAGTGCTGTAGTATGTAGTGTGTTGTAAAGTGCTGTAGTATGTAGTGTGTTGTAAAGCGCTGTAGTGTGTAGTATGTTGTAAAGTGCTGTAGTGTGTAGTGTGTTGTAAAGCGCTGTAGTATGTAGTGTGTTGTAAAGTGCTGTAGTGTGTAGTGTGTTGTAAAGCGCTGTAGTGTGTAGTGTGTTGTAAGCGCTGTAGTGTGTAGTGTGTTGTAAAGTGCTGTAGTGTGTTGTAAAGCGCTGTAGTGTGTGGCAAAGCGCTGTGTGTAGTGTACATTTTTTACATTTACATTTATTCATTTAGCTGACGCTTTTCTCCAAAGCGACTTACTATTGCTATATATATGTCAGAGGTCGCACGCCTCTGGAGTTAAGTGTCTTGCTCAGGGACACATTGGTGTCTCAAAGTGGATTCGAGCCCGGGTCTCTCACACCAAAGGCATGTGTCTTATCCACTGCGCCATCACCACCCAGTGTGTTGTAAAGCGCTGAAGTATGTAGTGTGTTGTAAAGCGCTGTAGTGTGTAGTGTGTTGTAAAGCGCTGTAGTGTGCAGTGTGTTGTAAAGCGCTGTAGTGTGTAGTGTTGTAAAGCACTGTAGTGTGTTGTAAAGCGCCTTAGTATGTAGTGTGTTGTAAAGCGCTGTAGTGTGCAGTGTGTTGTAAAGCGCTGTAGTGTGTAGTGTGTTGTAAAACACTGTAGTGTGTAGTGTGGCGTTGTAAAGCGCTGTAGTATGTAGTTTGATGTAAAGCGCTGTTGTAAAGCGCAGTAGTGTGTAGTGTGGCGTTGTTAAGTGCTGTAGTATGTAGTGTGTTGTAAAGCTCTGTAGTATGTAGTGTGTTGTAAAGCTCTGTAGTGTGTAGTGTGTTTTAAAGTGCTGAAGTATATAGTGTGTTGTAAAGCTCTGTAGTGTGGCGTTGTAAAGTGCTGAAGTATGTAGTGTGTTGTAAAGCTCTGTAGTGTGGCGTTGTAACGCGCTGTCGTATGTAGTGTGTTGTAAAGCTCTGTAGTGTGTAGTGTGTTGTAAAGTGCTGAAGTATGTAGTGTGTTGTAAAGTGCTGAAGTGTGTAGTGTGTTGTAAAGCTCTGTAGTGTGGCGTTGTAAAGCTCTGTAGTGTGGCGTTGTAAAGCTCTGTAGTATGTAGTGTGTTGTAAAGTGCTGAAGTATGTAGTGTGTTGTAAAGCGCTGTTGTGTGTAGTGTGGCGTTGTAACGCGCTGTCGTATGTAGTGTGTTGTAAAGCTCTGTAGTGTGTAGTGTGTTGTAAAGTGCTGAAGTATGTAGTGTGTTGTAAAGCGCTGTAGTGTGTAGTGTGTTGTAAAACACTGTAGTGTGTAGTGTGGCGTTGTAAAGCGCTGTAGTATGTAGTTTGATGTAAAGCGCTGTTGTAAAGCGCAGTAGTGTGTAGTGTGGCGTTGTTAAGTGCTGTAGTATGTAGTGTGTTGTAAAGCTCTGTAGTATGTAGTGTGTTGTAAAGCTCTGTAGTGTGTAGTGTGTTTTAAAGTGCTGAAGTATATAGTGTGTTGTAAAGCTCTGTAGTGTGGCGTTGTAAAGTGCTGAAGTATGTAGTGTGTTGTAAAGCTCTGTAGTGTGGCGTTGTAACGCGCTGTCGTATGTAGTGTGTTGTAAAGCTCTGTAGTGTGTAGTGTGTTGTAAAGTGCTGAAGTATGTAGTGTGTTGTAAAGTGCTGAAGTGTGTAGTGTGTTGTAAAGCTCTGTAGTGTGGCGTTGTAAAGCTCTGTAGTGTGGCGTTGTAAAGCTCTGTAGTATGTAGTGTGTTGTAAAGTGCTGAAGTATGTAGTGTGTTGTAAAGCGCTGTTGTGTGTAGTGTGGCGTTGTAACGCGCTGTCGTGTGTAGTGTGTTGTAAAGCGCTGTTGTGTGTAGTGTGGCGTTGTAACGCGCTGTCGTGTGTAGTGTGTTGTAAAGCGCTGTTGTGTGTAGTGTGTTGTAAAGCTCTGTGTTGTGTAATAAAGCGCTGTAGTGTGTTGTAAAGCGCTGTAGTGTGTAGTGTGTTGTAAAGCGCTGTAGTGTGTAGTGTGTTGTAAAGCGCTGTAGTATGTAGTGTGTTGTAAAGCGCTGTAGTGTGCAGTGTGTTGTAAAGCGCTGTAGTGTGTAGTGTGTTGTAAAGCGCTGTAGTATGTAGTGTGTTGTAAAGCGCTGTAGTATGTAGTGTGTTGTAAAGCGCTGTAGTGTGCAGTGTGTTGTAAAGCGCTGTAGTGTGCAGTGTGTTGTAAAGCGCTGTAGTGTGTTGTAAAACACTGTAGTGTGTAGTGTGGCATTGTAAAGCGCTGTAGTATGTAGTTTGATGTAAAGCGCTGTTGTAAAGCGCAATAGTGTGTTGTAAAGTGCTGTAGTATGTAGTGTGTTGTAAAGCTCTGTGTTGTGTAGTGTGTTGTAAAGCTCTGTAGTATGTAATGTGTTGTAAAGCGCTGTAGTGTGTAGTGTGTTGTAAAGCTATGTAGTGTGGCGTTGTAACGCGCTGTAGTGTGTTGTAAAGCGCTGTTGTGTGTAGTGTGGCGTTGTAAAGCGCTGTAGTGTGTTGTAAAGCGCTGTTGTGTGTAGTGTGTTGTAAAGCTCTGTAGTGTGGCGTTGTAACGCGCTGTCGTGTGTAGTGTAGTGTGTTGTAAAGCGCTGTGTCGTCACCCGCAGAGCCTCAGTCAGACCCGGAGCAGGTCCAGCGAGTGTGTGAGGCGGTTCTGGAGGCCCGGCTGCCTCTGAGTCTGGATCAGCTGAAGCAGAAGCTGAAGGATCTGCAGGATCTGATGGTCTCAGTGCCCGACAGCAGCAGCGTCCTGACGACTAGCGGCCCGCAGCTGGAGAACGCCAGACGCCTGCTGGACGCCGCCCGCGACACACGGTACACACACACACACACACACACACACACACACACTCCAGCGTCCTGACGACTAGCGGCCCGCAGCTGGAGAACGCCAGACGCCTGCTGGACGCCGCCCGCGACACACGGTGCACACACACACACACACTCCAGCGTCCTGACGACTAGCGGCCCACAGCTGGAGAACGCAACCACTCTTAGCAACGCAAACACATGCTTGTTCTCAATGATATTGTTCATTGAAGCTTATGGACTAGAGTATGTGAGAGATCAAGCGAGTGTACCTGCATTTACAGTAGATGTAGCATTTGCCTTCATTCATAATAAAAAATCAGTTTGAATGTCCGCTGCGATATCTTGTCGTTTTAACAGTTAAGGGGTTTTCCCGTGCCGTGACACGCTAGTCATTTATCAGTTGTGTCTTTCTTCTCCGTGTTCACAAGTTTCAGTCGTTTCAGTATAAAAGTCTTCTCTACTGACGGACTCACTCGTAAAGACAGTGTTTGCCGCCATCTAACGGCGTAATAATGTAACGTAACTTCTGCTGCTGTTCGCGGTCAGGGACTATTTTCTCCAGCGGAAGGAAGGCTTTTAGTGATTTAACTTCATGAAAGTTGCATTGATGCATGTTTTTTTGGCTTTGATATTTGTATTGTGTGGTAGCCGTTTTATAAAAGCAATAAGGTACTCGAGGCTAGCACTATATCGCGAATAATTGTGACTCTGCTTTGCGTCGTGCCTAACAACTCCTCGTGACTTATTCACCGCACAGCCTCGAGGACCTTATATTTGTATGTGGCTGATGTTCTTGACTGGTCGTTTGCAGAGACGCAGCGTTTGGCATCCAGCAGGACGGCGAGAGTCTTCTGAAAACGATGGATGAAAATGAGAACATTTTCGACGACCTGGAGGACAAAATCCGGCAGAGCGTCGACATCGCCAACGAAGTTAAGAAAGACGTAGAGCGGGTCAGTTCGAGTCACGTGTGCGGAAACAACGGACACGACCTCAGAACTCAAATTAACCTGGATTTATCATCTCTCTCTCTCAGATAGAGGACGTGCTGGTTCCCGCTGAGATGGGGATTGTGGGTATTTCAGGGCTGATGGATGAGATTCGCCCCCTGGTGGACACATTGAGGAACGACGTGACGACAGAAACAGCGCTGGCGAACGACGCTCAAGATCAGGCGAACTCAGCTCAAGACGAGGCCGACCGGGCCGCACAGGTACTGAACACACACAGCAGTTCACGTTTATTTGTGTAGCGCTTTTCACAACACACATCATTACAAAGCAGCTTTACAGAAAGTGCACAAGTCCACATTACAGTTTACAGCGATCAGAGGAGACTGTCTAAGTTATGTATTTCAAAAATATACATATACAAAATCACAGTTAGCTAAAAATTACACTCACTGGTCATAGTTAGTAATGGTTTGGTTAGTAAAGCAACGTGTGTGTGTGTGTGTGTGTGTGTGTGTGTGTGTAGGCTCTGGAGGCGTTAAAAGACGAGTTCGAGCGGATGAAACGAGCCGCGGCTGAAAACACTCAGGCTGGGGAAGATGGTGTTCGTTTACTAAAGCTACAGGAGGAGGCGGAGTCTCTGATGACGGACACCTCTGACATCATGAAGGCTCTGAAAGGTAACACCCACAAAACATACATCCCATAATGCCATGCACACACATTACCGATTGTGTGGTTTGTGAGTGATTGCGAGACATTTTAGAGAGATGGGAACAAATCATTGAATCAGTTAATACTCATTTGATTCACTGACTCGATTCATTTGAATCAATTAGTGTATTCGATTGACTCGGTGAGTCGATTTGATTTTTATTCATTCAAATCTGTGAATCAACGGAGTCGATTCACTGACTGTTTGATTACCTTAGGAATCGATCCACTGAATCAGAGTCAGTTGAATGAATTCAACTCAAACACTGTTTTTGGTACTAAAGGTTACATTTTAAATGCAGTTTATAATAAAATCAAAAAATGTGTGATGATTGCGAGACATATTAGAGTGATGCAAACAAATAATTGAATCAGAGTTCTGAATCAGTAAATAGACTCATTTAATTCACTGAATCGGTTCATTTGAATCAATGAGTGTATTTGATTGATTCAGTGAGTCAATTGGATTTATTCAATCAAATATATGAATCAAATGAATCGATTCTGTGAATCAAATGAATCGATTCTGTGAATCAAATGAGTCTATTATTCACTGACTGTTTGAACAGATAAAGAGGCGTCCATACGGCAGCGAGCGACAGAGATGGAGGAGAACGGCTCGCGGTTGACCGGTCTGGACGCTCAGGTGGAGAAACTGCGAGACGATATCCGCTATAAAGTCACCAGTCTGAACATGTGCCAGGGCTGATGACACACACACAACACACAACACTGATGACACACACATAACACACAACACTGATGACACACACACAACACAACAGTAACAGTGATGACACAACTAACACACATCAGTAACACTGTGTCTCAATAAAGGTTTTGTGAGCTGCTATGTTTACAGTGGACGACTAGCATACTACATAGTGCTTACTAACATGAGTATGTTGTGATGAATAAAGCTATGAACTGTTTCTGTGGTTCCGTGTGTTCCCTGTCGTACGGTAGATCTGGTTCCGTGTGTTCCCTGTCGTACGGTAGATCTGGTTCCGTGTGTTCCCTGTCGTACGGTAGATCTGGTTCCGTGTGTTCCCTGTCGTACGGTAGGGGGCGCTGTTACACTCCTCCTGAAAGAGCTCTGAATCTCCTGATCAAACACAGGCAAAAGCTTTTTGCTCAAAATGTTTTATATTGTAATTAAACGTGTCCACATTCAAATGTGTAAATAGTTTTATTTGATGTTTAATACAGCAGCATGTTTATGGATTATAATACACTGCGCTTTCAACAGATACAATGATCTTATAAGCACATATAAAACACAAACATAGAGATAATAACAGCAAGGATAAATACGTCCTTAATAAGAAAATAAACACAGTCCTTAAACACACTCAAACACGCAGCGGTTTACTGTAGAACAGTGGCACATGTGATCCGCCCTTCCCATGATGCACCCTGTCGGCCCACCACGGGTGTAAATATGACTACTGTACATATATATGCAGACAGTAGGGGAGATAATACGACTCAGACCGTACGGTCTCGCGCAATTCCTGAGAGGAGAGATGCTCTCGGTCTCTTTCCCGAATGACCAGTCAGAGAAGAGGGTGTGTGTGTGACTGGCACTCGCCCGACTCGGCCTGTGCGTCCCACGGGTGACGGGATAAACACGATCTGAGAGAGAGGGAGGGAGAGAGAGAGAGAGAGAGAGAGGTCACACACCTACACGATCACGTGACGTATAAGCGGAGGCCTAATTGGATACTCACTTCATTTGATTGACAGCTGTCAGTCAGACGATTACATCAGAGAGCAAACGCCGGTCTGAAGGGTCTGGCCACGCCCATCTGTGCCACACATCACCCTGTCCGACCTGAAACACACAACGACTCATGAGGGCTGGTGTTAAAGTATTAAATAGGATAAAAATTTATGTTTATGTACATTTTAAAAGCAATACACTGCAATATAGTTATGAACAGCAATATTTATCAACACTTGTTACATGAGACATGCCACATGGAGACTTGAGGAAAGTGATGATGCAAATGAATCATGGAATGGGAGTTGTGAATCAGCGAATAGACTGATTCACCGAATTTGCTAATTTGAAACATCCGACTGAATCGATTCACAGAATCAAATGAGTTGATTCACTGAGTTGAATTTACTAAACAACTACTTGAGTCCATTAGGAATCGATTCATTAAATCAGAGTTATGAATTGATTCATTGAAATTTCAGCTAAACAAATGAATTAATTCACAGAATCAAATGAGTCGATTCACTTAGTTGAATTTATGAAACAACTTTTTGAATCCATTAGCAATCAATTCACTGAATCAGAGTTGTGGATTGATTCATTGAAATTTCAGTTCAACGATCAATAATCAATTCACGGCATTAAATGAGTCGATTCAGTTAATCAAATGAGTCGATTCAGCATTTTAAATGAATTGATTCACTAAGTGATTTTTTTAAACAACTAGTTGATTTTGTTAGGAATCGACTCACTGAATCAGTTATGAATTGATTGATTGAAATTTCAGCTGAACAAATGAATCAATTCAAAGAATCAAATAAGTTGATTCAGTGCATCAAATGAGTCGATTCACTGAGTTGAATTTATTTAACAACTTTTTGAATCCATTAGCAATCAATTCACTGAATCAGAGTTGTGGAGTGATTCATTGAAATTTCAGTTCAACGATCAATAATCAATTCACAGAATTAAATGAATCGATTCAGTTAATCAAATTAATCGATTCAGTTCATCAAATTAATCGAATCAGTATTTTAAATGAATCGATTCACTAAGTCTGATTTTTTTAAGCAACTATTTGAATTTGTTAGGAATCGATTCACTGAATCAGTTATGAATTGATTCATTGAAATTTCAGTTGAAGGAATTGGACTTGCCAATTCAAACACAGTTTTTGCTGCATAAGTTTTTTGTATGAACTTTCTCAAATTTGTGATTTGAACATGGAATAAGCGTAAAACTAGACATGCTCTTGGGGAATTGTGATATTTATTATGTTGCTCTATTTTTTGGGTCAAATTCAAAGGCATGAAGTACTTGAGAGAGATGTCAATCACAAAAAAGTCCATATTTGGCAGGGTGTTACCTGTTAGCGGCGCAGTCTGACGCACACAGGTCCGACTCCGAGTGATACACGTGTTGCCCGGTCTCAGAGATGACCAGCGCGTGCATCGGCTCGCTGTTGCAGGCCTTGAGCGGGCCACGCCCCCTGATGACATCAGCGTGAGGCGACAGGGTCATGTGACTGCACGAGGGGTTCCCGTTGGTGTCCAGCTCGCTGGGGGCGGGGCCTGGAGACGAGACGTCCAGCACCTCGATCAGCGGGGGCGGGGTCAGGCTCGGGGTCATGACCTCAGGGTCAGCGTGAGCGAACTGAAGACGCCGCATGTGACTGACAGCCACCGTCACGTTAATGGCTCGCTAAAACACACACATGCTCATATATTCAATCCACGGTTATTTGTGTAGCGCTTTTCACAACACACACATCATTACAACGCAGCTTTCCAGAAAGTGCATGAGTCCACATTACAGTTTACAGAGATCTATTATCAGAGGAAACTGTCTAAGTTATGTATTTCAGAAATGTAAATATACAAAATCACAGTTAGCTAAAAATGTATTAATTTAAACAATGTAATAATTTAATGCAGAAACAATGAGCTCATAGGAGTAATGAAAACTTGGATATAGACACGGAGTCGTTCACACAGCGGCACAGGGTGAGTGTATTAGGGCTGTCTGATGTCTGAAAAGCTGAATTCGAATTTCTTAAATATTAGCAGAATACGAATTCACACACACACACACACACACACAAACTGAGAGGGTTTTCGTCAGCAGGAAGAACCTTTTCCCGCCATTTTTCAAATCAACAACGCACTGTACACTGGATAAGCTAACAAAAACACACCGCGCAAGTTACGATTTGTTTAATCATGAATTTGTACGGCACTGCAGGTTGTTGTTTTTTCATGATTCAATATGTTAATCATGTTTATTCGTGACTTCAGTTTTTATCTTTCAGCTAGCTTTTATCTCTTTATTCATAAGTATAATTCATCAAACATGTTTTTTCATGAACCAGTTTATCCATGAATCAACATTGTTTTTTCAAAATAATGTTTATTCGTGAATCAGTATATTTATTTATGAATCATCATATTACTTTATGAAGTATCCGTTTATTCATGCATAAGTTTATTCATGATAAAGTATGTTTGATTATTAATAGGTCAATCTGGTAATGAATTAGTATGTTTATTGACAAATCAGGTTGTTTATTTGTGCACGGTTTTTGCATTCGAATGTGCAGAAAATATTAGAAATTCACATTTTTCTTTGATAGCCCTAAGGTGCACCCGTGATCTGCTCTCTCACCTTCCACTTGGATTTGGCGAAGTTCTTCTGCATCTGCTCACAGACGGACTGAATAATATTGTCATTGTGCGCCGTGTCTCCAATTATCCTGCACAAAGAGAACAGCAGCTTGTTTATTCACGAACCAGCATGTTTATTCATACATTTGTGAATCTGCATGTTTATTCATACATTTATGAATCTGCATGTTTATTCATACATTTATGAATCTGCATGTTTATTCATACATTTATGAATCTGCATGTTTATTTATGCATTTGTTTATTCAAGAATTCATCATGTGTTTTTCATGAATCAGTGTGCATGAATCCATGAATCAACATGCTTATTGCAAAATTAATGTTTATTCATGAATCAGTATATTTAGTTATGAATATGTATGTTTTATGCATTAGTTTATTCATGTTTAATTATCAAGTTGATTCATCATAGCGTTTTTTTTTTCATGAATCAGTATTCAATAATGTATTTGTTTATTCATAAGTATAATTCATCAAGCATGTTTTTTCATGAATCAGTATACTTATTTATGAATCTGCAAGTTTATTTATACATTTGTTTATTCATAAGTATGATTCATCTAGCACGTTTTTTCATGAATCAACATGCTTATTTCAAACTTTGTTTATTCATGAATCTGTATATTTGTTTATGAATCAGCATATTTCTATGCATTAGTTTATTTATGAAGTTTTTCATAAATAAGCATTTGTCTGTTTATTCACACATAAGTACATTTATTCATGAATCAGCATGTTTGATTATTGATGAATCAGGTTGCATATTTGTTTAATCGTGATCTGCAGGGTTTCTTTCATGATTCAATATGTTAATCATGTGTATTCGAGCCTCAGTTCATCAGTCCACGTATAAACTGTGCTGGGACTCTCAGTGTTTCTCACCATGGATGGCCGAGTGCTTGTTCCGTTGTGAAGCGTTTATTAGGGTTTTTCTCCAGCATGTGCCTGATAAAGTCCTTTGCTGCAGAAATCAGAACAAACCACAATTATTCACAAAGGTTTTCAATACATACTAACATTAAAGGTGCAGTGTGTAAGTTTTAGCAGCATCTAGTGGTGAGGTTGCGAATCGCACCCAACTGAAGTTACGGTGGCCGACAGGAAGTGATGTCGTCGTCTGAGACAGCAGAGAGTAGCCAGTTAAACAATGAGGTTTCTTTACAAAGATAAATTAAGAGATATGTTTACTTAATTATTCAGTAAAACAATGTTATTGCGAATATTATTGTCACTTGTTCATCATTGAGTCAGTGTTTTATTCGCTGACTTTAGCAGCTTCTTATCATGAAGAACAACATAGTGACGAAACGCGTTTGTCCGCTCAGGGCCACCGTAGAAACATGTCGATGTGACCCGCGGTGTGTGTAGAAAGAAACGCTCATTCTAAGCTAATAAAAACATAACGCTTCATTATGTAAGGTCGTTATACACCACTGAACACATTGTTATGTATATGATATTGCATTTCTGTCAACAGATCCTCCTAAATACTACACACTGCACCTTTAACATACTAAGAATACACGCTAACATTTTAACATGTTTTTAATGTTGCACTGCAGCTGATGGCCTACAGGTGGCAGTAATGACAGCGTGTGTGAAGTGTTTCTGACGCACCTGACTCGGAGATGTCGTCCCAGTACGGCGAGTGAAACGCATATTCTGCCTTCATGATCTTGGAGAAAAGGCGCGTTTCATTCTCCTCGTAAAATGGCGGGTATCCGCTCAACCTAAACAAACACATGAAGAGGTCAGCGTTTGAGGAAAAACACACCTGACCGGATCTCAAGAGTGTGCGTAATGACGGCAGACTCACAGAATGTACGTTATGACGCCGATAGACCAGCAATCCACCGCTTTACTGTACGGTTTCTGAGCCAGAACCTCCGGAGCTGATGAGAATAATCACCGTAATGAGAATCATCACCATTACAGGCAATCTAACAGCAGAAGTAAAGCGTCCGTACCAACATATCCCGGTGTTCCACAGGCCGTGGACATCACGCCGTGATCCGCCATCTTCGACAGACCGAAGTCACTGATCATGATCTTGGCGTTCTCCTCTGGACTGTAGTACAGAAGGTTCTCCGGCTACAGACGGACATTAATGACATTTAGGACCTATTACACCATTTCAGGCTCTACTAGAACAGGTTTTCCTGCTTGAATGTTGATTATTCTCCTCATATTCTCCATTGTTGCGGCTCCTCTCTTCCCAGTCTGTCAGTAACGCTCTGTTTAGTTCCTGTCTCTATGAAGCCCCTCCTTCTGAAAAGCACACTGTGCTCTGATTGGTCGCCTGGAGAAGTGTGCTGTGATTGGTCGGGCGCTTCAAGTGTGTTTGGGAAATGTCCCGCCCCTTCCCATAACCGCCAGTTTAACACACTACTGACTAACTCAACCAGGCCCCGCCCCTTTATTCTGCGTATGAATTATTATAATGAGGAATATTGTGACGTGTTCGTTCCCGGGAGAAACTCAAGACTACAATGGAGGCGTTTCAGGAGTTCAGAAACACTGATATAGAGAAGAACTAGAGCTTTGCAGAGCTTCTCATGAGAGTTGAACGTGTAAAAAGCAATTAAAACCTCTACAGAAGATGCATTAGAAGACCAAGCTCGCTCACCTTCAGGTCTCTGTGGACGATGCTGTTCTGGTGCAGGTAGGAAACGGCCTCCAGGACCTGTTTGATCACACGGCTGGCGTCTTTTTCCGTGAAAACACCTCGATCCAGAATACGGTCAAACAGCTCTCCGCCCGACACCCTTCACAGACACCCAAACATGGACGAGTTAATACACACGCTGAGCGATGTGTTTGTGTGTATATTTTAGGCATTATCAAACACGTACAGCTCCATGACCAAGTAATAGTGTGTTCTCGTCTCGTAGAAATCTTCCAATGCAACCACATTATCATGCTTTATCCTGAAAGAGAGAGAGAACATGGTGTTGGTCTGTAGTGTTAGTCAATGTTAATGTTAGTCAGTAGATTTAGGGGTTTGTGGTGTGTATGTGGAGTCAGGTGTGTTTGTGTTAATGGTCTGTTGTATTTGTGGTCTGTAGTTTTTAGTCTGTGGTGTTTGCATCTGTGTTTTGGAATTGAAATTGGTATTTATGTTCTCAGCATGACCTAAGGAATCTATTAAGACCAGTTTCAATACAATTAGATAATTGAATAAAAAGTTTTTAGCATTTTTGGAAAAACGTTTGACCAGAAGGTGGCGCTGCCCGTAAACTTTTTGAGCACCATCAGGGCGTGGTGCCAAAGACACGTACCAAATTTGGTAAAGAAGCGCCAATGTTCGTAAAATATAGCATATTACAACCAAATTCAAAATGGCCGACACCCAAAATGGCCAATATGGGAAAATTAGGTATCGTTTCGACTCGGCATGCTGCACCAGTGAGAGTTTTGTGATTTTATTGGTCAAATATTTCAAAAGTTATAAGCAAAAAGAGCCATTTTTTTATATCTCCTGACCACTAGGTGGCACCGTGATGAAACTGTGCCGGTAGCCTCAGGTCATGGTTCTCATAACACACACAAAGCCTGCGTCTGTTTATTGCAATCGTTGACGTTCTTATTATTATTAAATAAGCGTGAAAAGCATGAAAATCGACCGTTGCTCCAATTTTCACAAAAATTAAACCAGATTATCTTCAGACCATGCCAAAAAAAAGTTATGGAATTTTGATTCGTCAAACGGTTCTCGAATAACAGATGAAAGAATTTGACGAAGAGCACGCCGAATTGAACGTGAGGCTATATCTCCGAAACGCTTTAGCTTATTCTGACCAAACTTAGGCTGAATCCAAAATCCCCCCCTATACCCTCGAATAGGCCGTTGTTTGAGGGGACAGCCATTTGTAGTGGTGTCCGAAACCATAGTGTACGTAATCGAGTGCACTCATTCAATCCCACATTGCACAGCAATAACGAGTGTACAACCGATGTACGCTCAGCGGCTGCTGAATTCACTCACTCGTTTTCATCCACTCCTTCGAGTGAGCCGTTTAAAGGAGAACTCCGGCGCAAAATGAACCTTTGGTCTAATTACACATTGTTACCTAGTCAAGCGTTATCTGAGATTTGTTTTCATGATTATCGAATGTAAATAGTTTTATCTCTAAAAACAGTTTAGCTTATAAAGCTAGTATAACGCTAGTATATTGGGCATAGATCAATGACAAATAAAAATCGCTGGTTAATACCACTAACAAGGCTCAAAATAGCCCCACACTAACACGGCAGCATAATGAGGGTCCCTACCTTCAAACCGAAGCATTGAGAACTTTGTCAGTGTCCAGACCGTTTAATAAGAAGATATTTTAAACATACAGTCAACTTCGCGTATACAGGCAGAAGCCATCTTTGAAATACAGTCTTTACCAGTCGATCTACGAACGCCGATCCAACCCTGCTGTTCGCGCTCACCTTATCACAACTTATAGCTCGTTCACATCTCACCAGCGCACTTGGATCGGCGTTCGTAGATCAACTGGTAGAGACTGTATTTCAAAGATGGCTCCTGTCTGTATACGCGAAGTTGACTGTATGTAAAAAATATCTTCTTATTAAACTGTCTGGACACTGACAAAGTTCTCAATGCTTCGGTTTGAAGGTAGGGACCCTCATTATGCTACCGTGTGAGTGTGGGGCTATTTTGAGCCTTGTTAGTGGTATTAACAAGCGATTTTTATTTGTCATTGATCTATGCCCAATATACTACCGTTATACTAGCTTTATAGGCTAAACTGTTTTTAGAGATAAAACTATTTACATTCGATAATCATGAAAACAAATCTCAGATAACGGTTGACTAGGTAACAATGCGTAATAGGACCAAAGGTTCATTTTGCGCCGGAGTTCTCCTTTAAGTGGACTAACGTAGGGAACAGTGAATGAGGATTTAGGGGGCGATTTTGAATTCAGCCTTGGTGTGTGTTATGACAACCATGACCTGAGGCTACCTGCACAGGAGATATGAAAATGGCTCTTTTTGCTTATAACTTGTGAAAGATTTGCCCCAAAAACTCAGAAAACTTGAACGATAACCAATTTTCCCATATCGGCCATTTTGGGTGTCGGCCATTTTGAATCTTGTCGTAAAATGCTATATTTTACAAACATTGGCGTTTCTTTACAAAACTTGGTTTGTGTCTTCAACACCATGCCCTGATGGTGCTCAAAACGTTTCTGGGCAGCGCCACCTTGTGGTCAAAAGCTATAACGAAATTTCCAAAAATGCTAAAAACTTTTGACTAAATTAGCCTATTGTAATGAAATTGGTCTTAATAGATTCCTTGGGTCATGCTGAGAACATAGATACTAATTTTCACCAAAATCAAATCATTTTCATATACTGCATCAAAAAAGTTAATGGAATGATGCCAAAATGACTGTATATGAGGCTGTATCTCTGCATGATTGGGCTTATAGTCTTTATATTAATGGTTTGTGATGTTTGCTGTATTGATGATATTGTTCTGTGGTCTTTATGTTAATGGCCTGTGATGTTTATGGTCTGTAATCTGTGATAAGGATCTCTGATGATTATATTTGTGCTTGTTTTAGGGGTGTTTGAGTCTTGTTTCGTCTCGTACCTCTTCAGCACCTTGATCTCGTTCTCAAGGTTGGAGTGGTGCAGCTGTTTTTTCTTCACACACTTCAGGGCGTAGAAGTTCCCGGTCTTTCTCTCTCTCACCAGGTAGACCTCAGAAAACGAGCCCCTGAGAGACACATGAATGTTGAGTTTGAGATCAGCACTAATCTATCAGCACAAGGCACCGCTGTGTGTGTGTGTGTCCAGCTTGTTCAACCCACCTGGTCTCTCTTAAATAACTGTCCTAGGACGAGGATTACTGTGCGTTACACAAGAGACCCAGTACCGCCCCTCACGACTCATTACCCACAATGCATCTAATCCAAAACACCCTAGAAATACCTTGCAACCGCCCAGAACAACACAGAAACCACCTGGCAATGTCCTCACCATGTCAAACCATGTGTGTGTGAAAACACACTCCTACAGCAGAGATTATCTCAGATTGAGATTGAGAACATCATAGTCACCGTTTGGTTGTCGCACATTGATGATCGAATGATTATTTGAAGTCAAATCGGTAACTCTTTACTTGAAGGGGTGTGCATAAGACTAACATGACACCTTCATAATCATGACATGACACATGTTATGAATATGAAGGAAGTTTTATGCATGTTTGTGACAACTGTCATTAAATGTCATTCGCTCAATTATGACATTTTTAATGCAAATATGACATTGTTTGAGATGTCTTTGTTATGACACCTTGACATAAACCAATACATCATAACCTGTCAGTGTTTTTTTCATGACAACTTGACATTACTAAGACAACACAACCTGTCATAAACATGACATAGCAGATTAATGATCAAACTTAAGAAACCACTTAGCTTTATTGGTTAACATTACATTAAACTGTCAGGTGGTTGGTTTTGACATTGGCTGTCATGAAGCCATTATAACTGTTTAATGACAAATTCAATTTGTACCACTGTAGTTGAGGTCAAGAAAAATATTCATGACACAGTTATAATGGCCTCATGACAGCCAATGTCAAAACCAACCACATGACATTTTAACTTAATTTAATGTCAAGTTGTCATGACAAAGGCACTGACAGGTTATGATGTTATGGTTTATGTCAAGGTGTCATAACAAAGACATCTTAAACAATGTCATATTTGCATTCAAAATGTCATTATTGAGCGAAAGACACTTAATGACAGTTGTCATAAACATGCATAAACCCTACTTCATATTCATGACATATGTCATGTCATGGTTAAGAAGGTGTCATGTCAGTCTTATGTACACCCCTTCAAGTAAAGTGTTACCGTCAAATCTGTAATGCTTTAGTTTAAATCAATGCTGTAATCCACATGAATGTGTGCAGGAGCCAATTATGACACTCATTCTAGACGTTATGAATAATTCATCTATAATTAACAAGAATTAACAAGAAAATTTAACAAAGATTCATTAGATCTAGTTCTCTTTTGGAGACAGATTTGTCCCCTTGTTGGTGTAGCTTCGTAAACCCACTTACATTCACCGTCTCGATAATCCTTTAATTAACTAGTGTCAGGATGTTCTCTGATGTCTGTGTCATTCACCTGCTGATGATGATTGACAGGTGTCAAAACAAGAGAGAGAGAGAGAGAAGGCTCACTAATGCTCACACGACCAACAAACTCCTGACAAGCATTTATGAATATCAACTTACAAAAATGCATGCCTCATAATGACTTATAAAGCTTTATAACACTTCATAATGCCTCATAATGATTAGTTAATTCTTCTCTATTCCTCAGTATGCCTTGCAAAGCTTTGAAACTCCTTATACTGTCTCATACAGCTTCAGAACAGCTTCTGTAGCATTATAATGCTTCATAATGCTTCAAAACATCTCATAACACTTCACACTGCTTCATAAAGTTTCACAAGATTTCATAATATGTCGTAACGTGTCGCAGTGTTACAAAATGCTTCATAGCAACTCATAAAACAATGCTTTATAACCCTTCAAAAAGTGTCATAAGAGCTTATGTAGCCTCTTAAAGCTTCATAGCATTTTGCCCATTTTATAATTCTTCATAACACCTCACAATGGCTCACTTAATAGTTCAGTAATGCCGTACAAAGTTTTCTAACACCTTAGTGTCTCACACTCATGTATAACATTTCATAAAGCTTCACAATGCCTCATAATGCTTCATGAACCTTCACAAAGTGTCATAAGAGTTTATAGAGCCTCTTCTAGCTTTATAACATTGTAATGGTTCATAAAGCTTCATAAATCTTTGCAATGCCTCATAATGGTTCGTTATGCCTTAAAATCTTCCTATCTCCTCATAGTGCCCCATAAAGCTTTAAAACAGCTTATAATGCTTCAGAAAGCTTCATAACCCCTCATAAGGACCTTTTACTTCACAATGCCTTATAATAGTTCAGTACAGCCGTACAAAGCTTCCTCGCATCCTATAGTGCCTCATACAACTTCATAACATCTCATAATACTTCATGACGCCTAATAATACCCTTCATAAACTGTCATTAGAACTTACTGTATAATGACTTAAAGCGTCATAGCATTTTGTCCAACTTTATAACAACTCATGAATATTCATAAAGCTTCATAACCCTTTACAATGATTCATAATGGTTTAGTAAAGCCTTATAAAGCTTCTCAACACCTTATAGTTCAACACTGATTTTTAAATATTTCATTAAGCTTCATAACACCTTATAACCCTTCATAAACTGTTGTAAGAGATTGAAGTGCCTAAAGCTTCATAGCATTTCAGAACGCTTTGTTATGATTCATAACAACTCATAACACTTCAAAAAGCTTCATCGTACCCCAATGCTTCACAACCCTTCATAAAGTGCCATAGGAGATGATAATAAGGATGCACCGATATTAACATTTTGGCCAATACCAATAACCGATAAATATTTATATTTGAAAGCCGATAACCGATATATTGGCCGATAAATCTAAAATCCAAATTTTGATATCATTTTGGAGAGCCTGATACAAAAACAAAAGTCTCACCATTAAAAGCCATGTCCCAAACGCACAATTATAATGTTCTCGTTATAATGTTACGTAGCCGATATGACAGACTTGTGTTGCACTGAACCGTATTTTCCTTTTTTGAAGTGATTTCAATCATATTCAAGCCATTTAAAACCATTATCTAACAGTGCGCATCTGAAGCGTCTCAGCTGAGGGAAATAATACATTATTTATCAGCTTTAATATATCGGCCAAATTTTCTTATCGGGCCGATAACGATAACTGCGCAACGATTAATCGCATCCAAAATAAGAGTTTGTGTTTACACAATATATGTGTGTGTACTGTGTATAATTATTTTACATATATAAATACACACATATGCATGTATATAGTTTAAAAATATTTGCATGTGTATACTGTATATTTATTTATACATAATTTATATTATATATAAATATTTTTTTTTTTTTAAATATATACAACTCGCATACATGTGTGTGTATTTATACAAAATATTTATACACAGTACACACACTTATATTATGTAAACACAAACTTTTATTTTGGATGCGATTAATCGTGAACCGATAGCGATATAGTGGCCGATATATCGTGCATCCCCAGATAATCGTGCCTCTTAAAGCTTTATAACATTTCAGATTGCTCTGTAATGCGTCTCAACACTTCACAATGATGAATAACGCATGGAATAATATTCTGTATTAGTGCTAAAGGGTTCCTCCGGGTGTTTCTCAATAGGATGAACGGCTTCGTTGATAAAAACGTCCCCCGGTCCTCAATCCGTTAATCTGCGTGTCAGGTTTAGACGCATGTGTCTCCTCTGGGAATAAAGCTTCTGATCCTGTAATAGCGCTGAAACACCTGCACTTGACTCCTGACTCTCTTAATGTCTCGTCATACAGCGATCCTCATGAAACGCTCCATACTCACGATCCCAGAACCTCCTTGAAGTCAAAGATGTCCTTGATGTTGCTGGTGATCTTCTTCCAGCTGCAGTTGATCTCCTTGCGACCCATCGCGGCTCGAGTTTCACAAACTGACTCCTGGAACACACACATCTGTCGTATTACTGCACAGAAACCATCACATGTTCATGTCCATACGCCTCCTCAAGTGTGCCAGATTACTCCATCTTATATAAAGCCAAGGTGGAGAAGGTCGCGGTCGGTCACACTAATGAATCCGCTGCGTTTCTGAGAAGAGTTTTGATCTCTGACCTCTGACCTCTCTATGTAGGTTAATGCTTTTAATATCCGGAATCACTTTACTTTAATGTCACAGTATATGAACTACCATACAGCATTGATTCATCTTCATGAAACATGTACTAATACATTATGAAAATCAGAAGTTGTATTTGCATTAATTAATGCAGTGTGAACAAACATGAGCAAGCGATATTACGTTATATTTTTACTGACAGTAAAACAAAGTCTAATGAATGCTTTAAAAATAGTTAATTTTAGCTAATGCATTAACACTTTAACTAATAAAGTGTCACTTAATAACGTTAACAAACATTATTACACCATATAATGTTACCCAGATCACTACACACATTTGAATAGTTAAGAATAGTTAAACTTCAATTCAAATATTTTCATATTCACATATTTATATAGAGTTTGCGAATGCTTATCATTCACGTTTATCTTTGGTATTTTAACGTCGTTCAACATTTAATGTCAAATATTCACAACAGTTGAAATACTGAGTTTAGAATAAACAGAAATATGATCACATATGTGTCGCTCATGAGCTCTCTGAGAAATGATAATTCATATGAAAGAAGAGCCAGTCTTACCGGAGGGATGATGATGATGATGATGATGTGATGAGGAGACGCAGTTGTTGAGCATCTACCTGAACTCGCACGCGCTCGTTAAAGCTTCATGAGCGCGCGCGGGGGGCGGGGCCGAGGCGCGTGACGTCACCCGCGATCACCTGAGAGCCAATCACAATAACCTTCCGTGAAAAGTTATTGTACGAGGTGTCTATGTTTATTAAGGAAAGGGTACTCTTTAATTTTGAAAATGTCATTTTTGTATATTTAAAGTACGATAACAGTGTGAATAAGGAGACCTTTGTAGCATAATTAATGTGTTACTTTTATTAGTCAAATTTCACATTCATAAGTGTAAGTTTTCTAACAAAAAGCCCCTTTTCTCAGTAGTCCTTAAAGAATTAGAAAATTATTTTTCTACTATTCAATCGAGTACTAATGGAAAAGCTATTAATTGTCTTCAAAATCTCTAAAAGATACAAAGGTTTTGTATTTTTGTCAATGTTTATTTTATTTTATTATGTGTTTTCTTTGCTACCCTGGCTCCAAAATGTATGTTGTATTGTTTTGTTGTTTAAAGCATTAATAAATAACCTTCCCCTGCAAATACTGCGTTACAAATAAAGTGGCAAATGCTATAATATGAGCGAGGTTAAATATGCTTAAATATGCCTTGTACTTTAATGATGAAGAAAATCACTTTATTTTCAATCTTTATTTTGGTGGAAGGCGGTGAAGAACTTGTAAATGATGTAGCGTTGTAGAGCGATGTCAATATTAAAATTTGTACAAAAGAATATATTATCATATAAAACAATATGAAAACAGGCCGCTTTGATTACATGTCTGTGGTTTAGGACATGTGCTTGCGATGTGTGCAGCTTAACGTGTGATAGAGCACTGCTCGCGCGCACGTGTGTGTGTGTGTGTGTGTGTGTGTGTGTGTGTGTGTGTGCACGCGCGCTCACCTGGGTGAACAGGTGCGCACTGACTCATTTCAGTGTCTTATAATCTAATATATAACTCTGCATCATGCTTGAGTTCATTCTGCTTATCATCCCCGTGTGTGTATAATCCCATCATGTATCTGTTGATAATATGATTATATGCTCTAACCAGAGTTGCTGAACACATGAATCATGAGCACGTCCGTGAGCGAGCGTGACGTCACAGTACGAGCTCGTTCACATCATCACATCATAATTCAGTTACAACGATTACACGTAATCATTTGCGATTATATTACATAATATTATAATAATTACATAATATTAAAACCTATTTAAATTTCACACAAACCACACATATACATGATTATATATTTTTTAATTATAAATAAATGTATTAATTTATTTATACCAATACAATGACCTAATGTGATATAGAGATACATATAACGTAAATTAATAAATGTGAATTAATTGTAATTCTTTCAATGCTTTGTTTACAAAATACATGAAGTAATTATTTTATAAACAAAAAATATATTATATTATATTATTAATTTCATTATTATATGTACACTGTTTTTCAAGTCAAAAAAGTTGATTATAAAATCACTTTTACAAATAATTCTTTATAAATCCATTAAATCAACAAAAAAGTTAAATATTTGATCCTAAATACGATGATTTGCATCTGTGTTTTTCTACAGTAGATGTTCGTTTAAGAACATTTTCAGCTCCTCTAAACTGCTTTAATCCGGTTAACATGACCGGAGCAGAAAATGAAGAGCACTTCCTGATCCTGCTTCTCATTCTGAGAGGTGATTGGCTGCGCAGAAGGATGTGGGCGGGGTTAAGATGCCCTGAAACTCATAGGACAGGAAACAGGAGATCATTAGCAAACGAGTTTAATCTCATCCAGATCAGGCTCATCTGACGCCTGCATTAATGAATTTTAAAGCCTCTCATGCATTCATTATCATTACTAATGAACAAATGAGCAACACCTGGTGAATCAGTCGCTCTGAAGCTTCTCAATGTCTCTCTGAATTTAAATACTGTAATTAGAGTCATTAATCTGTTGCCATGGCTTTGCACCTGTTTCAGGAGAAAGGAGGACATTCAGTTGAAATAAACAAGAATACTTAATGCCAATCTGTCTGTATTGCGTTCAGCAGCCACATTCACAAGGATTAAAGTGAATTTAACTCTATAATCCAGTTAAGTTCATCTGCTGTCTATGAGTGAATGAGTGAGTGTGACTCACTAGCGCCACCTGGTGGAAACCCACAATCAGTGACACTCGTCTCGTTAAAAAAAACTCAAAGACCACAATGGAAATAAGTTAATGCAACTTTATTGTGTTATCCTTAAATGTTGTATTGCTACTTCTTATGTCAAATAAACTTAAACTCAATTCAAGCCACCTAAAACAGAAACAGTCATGATCCAGTTACGACAGTGTTTATTCGTACCTAAACTAGTCCTTTAAGATCTATAACAGCACTAAACCATCACTGATTTATACAAACACTCACGAATACATATAAAAGAGTCGCCATCAGCATTATCAGACCGAACACTCTGACAATCCATCTGTATGGAGACCTCCAGGACACCAGGGGGCGCCGACGTGCCACGAGACGCCTGCAAACATATCACATGTCAGTGGTCTGAATTATGCGCATAAATTATGATGAAGAAGATGACTGTAAACACACAGTTCAGGGTTGGACTCCTCCCCTCGTTCTGACTCCTCCCCTTGTTCTGACTCCTCCCCCTCACATGAACTTTCTTTGGGCTTGATTGGAGAATAACGACGGCGACGGCACATGATTTGCGTCACACTGTCGAATTCAAAGATCGGTCACATGTATTCATGTAGTGAAGGAATACATTTGTTACTTTAATTACCTATTATCACTGTAAAGCCGCTTTGGAACAATCTACATTGTTAAAAGCGCTGTGTAAATGAAGATGACTTGACTTGACATATGTGACTCTGGACCACAAAACCAGTCACAAGGGTCATTTGTTTTAATTGAGATTTATACATCATCTGAAAGCTGAATAAATAAGCTTTCCACTGATGTGTGGTTTGTTAGGATAGGACAATATTTGGCCGAGATACTATTTGAAAATCAAAACTATTTGCAAACAATCGAAACATTGAGAAAGTCGCCTTTAAAGTTGTCCATTTGTGTTCGCAATTACGCTGCATCCACTCACAAAAATTATTGTTTTATATATTTACGGTAGGAAATTTACAAAATATCTTCATGGAACATGATCTTTACTTAATATCCTAATGATTTTTGGCATAAAAAAAAATCGATAATTTTGACCCATACGATGTATTGTTGGCTATCGCCACAGAGACACCCGTGCGACTCGTGACTGGGTTTGTGTTCGCATATGTCACGCGTTTTACCTTTGAAACACGCCGCTGTCGCCATCATCATCTTGGTTTAGACTGTTCACAGGAGAATTTACTTCCTGTCTGAGAGACGCAAACAGGAAGCAGTCATATTTTCTGGTTAAATACAGCTTAAGCTTCTAGTCTAGTCTAGCATTACCTCCGGTCTGCTTGCGTATCAAGCTCTGTGTTTGCATCCGCACTGGTTTCGCAGTTCTCCAGAAACGAAGCCTCTAGATGCTTCAACTGCAGCGATATAAACCTCGTAAAACCTCCAGACATCAAACCAGAAGCAAACGCTGGAATATGAACACGAAACGTACCTCAGATTGAGTCGGGAGTAATGTGATGCTGACCCTGCGGCGTGTTGGCTACGACATAAACGCTAGCTATTATTGATGGTTGAACACATATCAGACTAACACAAGACAAGGGATAATTACAGCGATAGTCAGCACATCTATCAAGCTCCAAACAACATAGAGGTTTGGTCACTATGAACTTTCATTCTATGGAAAAGAGTGGCATGACATGAAGGTGAGGAAATTATCACAGAGTTTACAAAGTAAAGTCTAGAGATACTGATACGAGTCACTGATTTAGTCTAATCATGGTCAGTTACCTGTTGTGATGAATATCTGAACAGGTCCCGGTCATCTGTTCGAAGAAAACTCTGATTATATAAGGGTACGTTTACATGACAACGATATGCTTACGTTTTTCCTTCGAGTTTTCCGCGTACAGACGACACCATTGTCAAATATTCACACGGATCTGCAGAAACGACTAAAAACGCTGTATTCTGCTGCCAGGCCAGTAGATGGCGTTTTCAAAAACTTGCACTTTGAAACCCGTTTTCAAAAGTTTGTGTTTTCAGGCACCTAAAATGCAGTTGTCGTGTAAACGAAGGGCCAAAACGCATAAAAAGTTTGACGTTTTTGGTTAAAAAACGGTGTCGTGTACGCGGCCCCTAAGACTACAGGTTTATTTATTCTCCAGGCCACTAGGGGGCAGCACTGAAGCCCGTTTTCAAAAGTTGTTGTCGTGTAAATGAAGGGTCAAAACGCATAAAAAGTTTTACGTTTTTAGTTAAAAAACGGTGTCGTGTACGCGGCCCCTAAGACTACAGGTTTATTTATTCTCCAGGCCACTAGGAGGCAGCACTGAAACCCGTTTTCAAAAGTTTGTGTTTTCAGGCACCTAAAATGCCGTTGTCGTTTAAATGAATGACAGAAACGCATAAAAAGTTTGACGTTTTTAGTTAAAAAACGGTGTCGTGTAAGCGGCCCCTAAGACTACAGGTTTATTTGCCCTCCAGGCCTCTAGGAGGCAGCACTGAAACCCGTTTTCAAAAGTTGTTGTCGTGTAACGCCGTTGTCGTGTAAATGAACGGCAAAAACCCATAAGTTTTACATTTTTTGTTGAAAACGGTGTTGTGTAAGCGGCCCCTAAAACTACAGGTTTATTTACCCTCCAGGCCACTAGGGGGCAGCACTGAAACACATTTTCAAAAGTTGTTGTCGTGTAAATGAACGGCCAAAATGCATTAAAAAGTTTAACTTTTTAGTTAAAAAATGGTGTCGTGTAAGCGGCCCCTAAAACTACAGGTTTATTTACCCTCCAGGCCTCTAGGAGGCAGCACTGAAACCCGTTTTCAAAAGTTGTTGTCGTGTAACGCCGTTGTCGTGTAAATGAACGGCAAAAACCCATAAGTTTTACATTTTTAGTTGAAAACGGTGTCGTGTAAGCGGCCCCTAAAACTACAGGTTTATTTACCCTCCAGGCCACTAGGGGGCAGCACTGAAACACGTTTTCAAAAGTTTGCGTTTTCACGCACCTAAAATGCAGTTGTTGTGTAAATGAAGGGGCAAAACGCATAAAAAGTTTGACGTTTTTGGTTAAAAAACGGTGTCGTGAAAGCGGCCCCTAAGACTACAGGTTTATTTATTCTCCAGGCTCTAGGGGGCAGCACTGAAACCCGTTTTCAAAAGTTTGTGTTTTCAGGCACCTAAAATGCCGTTGTCGTTTAAATGAATGACCAAAACGCATAAAAAGTTTGACGTTTTTAGTTAAAAAACAGTGTCGTGTAAGCGGCCCCTAAGACTACAGGTTTATTTGCCCTCCAGGCCACTAGGGGGCAGCACTGAAACCCGTTTTCAAAAGTTGTTGTCGTGTAACGCCGCTGTCGTGTAAATGAACGGCAAAAACGCATAATAAGTTTTACATTTTTAGTTGAAAACGGTGTCGTGTAAGCGGCCCCTAAAACTACAGGTTCATTTGCCCTCCAGGCCACTAGGGGGCAGCACTGAAACCCGTTTTCAAAAGTTGTTGTCGTGTAACGCCGTTGTCGTGTAAATGAACGGCAAAAACGCATAATAAGTTTTACATTTTTAGTTAAAAAATGGTGTCGTGTAAGCGGCCCCTAAAACTACAGGTTTATTTACCCTCCAGGCCACTAGGGGGCAGCACTGAAACCCGTTTTCAAAAGTTGTTGTCGTGTAACGCCGTTGTCGTGTAAATGAACGGCAAAAACGCATAATAAGTTTTACATTTTTAGTTGAAAACGGTGTCGTGTAAGCGGCCCCTAAGACGACAGGTTTATTTGCCCTCCAGGCCACTAGGGGGCAGTACTGAAACCCGTTTTCAAAAGTTTGCGTTTTCAGGCACCTAAAATGCAGTTGTCGTGTAAATGAACGGCTAAAACGCGTAAAAAGTTTTATGTTTATAGTTGAAAACGGTGTCGTGTAAGCGGCCCCTAAGACGACAGGTTCATTTGCCCTCCAGGCCACTAGGGGGCAGCACTGACCTGTGGAGTCGCTGTGTAACCGACGCTTCCTCCTGTGCAGCATCTTCCTGGCCTCCAGCATCTCCTCGCTCTCTGAAGCATGACGTCTCTTGAGATGCTCCACGTGAACCGACATCATTTCCACGGCGTGACTGACACGCGCTTCCTGATACGCAAACATGGTTATGAAAGGTTTATGAAAGGTCTGTGCGGGTCTTGTGATGTGAAGTACCTGGTGTGCGGCTCCGAGCATCTCTGCTGTTTTCACTACGGTGTCCACATTGCTCTCCAGCATCTGCAGGCTGTTCTTCATCTGTTCCACCATCTCTCTGCTGTCCACATCTGGAAGACGCTCGTACAACACCTGCAGGACAGCACAAACCCTTATAACACTCTCACAATCTCCTCGCAAAGCTAATGGTGCGTTCATCTCGTAGAGATCGTGTTTACGAGTTGAACGCACATGAACGCCACCACAATGTCGTAAATACGAGTGGGAAGCTCGCCCGATCTTTACGAGTGGGGGCGTGTCAGTGAGAAACATGGCGGGATAACACAATACTTAAGGGTATTTAGCAGTGATATTGTCAGGCTTTTCTATTTACAGCGAAGTAAGCTAATTTAAAAATGATAATATAACAATGTAATATGTAACGATAAAGTTTGCAGTGGCTCCATAAATTAATTAAAAACATAAAAAGCAAAGCACACCTGATGCACATTTCTTTGTTCTTCATTTTCTAGAAGTAGAGTTTAAGAACCTTGCTGTATTTTTGTGTAATTAATTAAGAGAAAGTACGCCGCCATCTTACTCCGACGAAAGTGACTTGAACGCACGTTAAACACGACTTCCCGCCTCGTACGTACGAACTTCCCAGGAGGACTTGAACGCACCATTAGATAGCAATCGTGATGATAAATGTGTTCATTCATTATTAGGGGTGAAACGGATTGCAGTTTATCCGAACTGTGAGAAGTGTCAATCACTGAACTAGCCCCGCCCACTTGTACTTTGACCACACCCATTCTCCCATAAACCCCACCCACTGAAGATACAACAGCACGGATCAGCCCCGACAGTTCGGCACGCATGCGATTCGCGGATTAGCTGCTAAATTTAACCATCATAGAGTGAACGTTTATCATTTGGATCTGTTTTGTCTTGCCAATTTACAAAGTATATAAAGTTGGCAAGATATAAACTCACAATTGAGTGTGATAAAGTCAGAATTGCGCGATATAAACTCACAATTGAGTGTGATAAAGTCAGAATTGCGCGATATAAACTCACAATTGAGTGTGATAAAGTCAGAATTGCGCGATATAAACTCACAATTGAGTGTGATAAAGTCAGAATTGCGCGATATAAACTCACAATTGAGTGCGATAAAGTCAGAATTGCGTGATATAAACTCACATTGTGTGTTATAAAATCAGAATTACGTGATATAATCTCACAATTGCGTGTTATAAAGTCAGAATTGCGAGACATAAACTCGCAATTGCGTGTTATAAAGTCAGACTTGTGAGATATAAACTCGCAATTGCGTTATAAAATCAGAATTGCAAGATAACTTGCAATTGCGTGTTATAAAGTTAGAATTGCAAGATAACTTGCAATTGCAGGTTATAAAGTCAGAATTGCAGGATATAAACTTGCAATTGCGTTTTAAAGTCAGAATTGCAAGATATAAACTCGCAATTGCGTTATAAAGTCAGAATATCAAGATAACTCGCAATTGCATGTTATAAAAACAGAATTACAAGATAACTCACAATTGCCTGTTATAAAGTCAGAATTGCAAGATATAAACTCGCAATTGCGTTATAAAGTCAGAATTGTGAGATATAAACTTGCAATTGCATTATAAAGTCAGAATTGCGAGACATAAACTCGCAATTGCGTTATAGTCAGAATTGCGAGACAAACTCGCAATTGCGTGTTATAAAGTCAGAATTGCGAGACATAAACTCGCAATTGCATTATAAAGTCAGAATTGTGAGACATAAACTCGCAATTGTGTGTTATAAAGTCAGAATTGCAAGATATAAACTCGCAATTGCGTTATAAAGTCAGAATTGCGAGACATAAACTCGCAATTGTGTGTTATAAAGTCAGAATTGCGAGACATAAACTCGCAATTGTGTGTTATAAAGTCAGAATTGTGAGATATAAACTCGCAATTGCGTTATAAAGTCAGAATTGCGAGACGTAAACTCGCAATTGCGTTATAAAGTCAGAATTGCATTTGTGTTTTATAAAGTCAGAATTGCGAGACATAAACTCGCAATTGTGTGTTATAAAGTCAGAATTGCAAGATATAAACTTGCAATTGCGTTATAAAGTCAGAATTGCGAGACATAAACTCGCAATTGCGTTATAAAGTCAGAATTGCGAGACATAAACTCGCAATTGCGTTATAGTCAGAATTGCGAGACAAACTCGCAATTGCGTGTTATAAAGTCAGAATTGCGAGACATAAACTCGCAATTGTGAGAGAAAAATATGATTATATTTATATTATTATTATAAATTATATTATTATATTAGTAGTAGTAGTGTTATGTAGTGTAATGTAGACACTATATCACAACTGAAAAGAGTTTTGAGTCGCCGTTAAAGTTCAGGTAACTATCAATGCACTGACTTTGCTCAAGTTGCACACTGAATATGTCGGCGCTTTTAATTTTAAACTCTCAAAGTGCACCAGATTTATGAGCTGAACTGTACTAATGTACCCAGAATGCCCTGGCGACGGTCAGCAGAGTCTCAGGTGTGTGTTCTGCTGTACCTGCAGCATCTCTCGGGTGTGTAGCAGTTCTCTCTGCAGATTCTCCTCCGCGACGACACGCTCGTGACGCTCCGCTTGAAGCCGCTGCGTTAGCGTGTACTGGTCACAGCCAAACCCCAGTGCAAACTGGGTAAACGCGCTCTGTGTGTGTGTGTTCACAGGGGTTAGTGACGTCTGGAGATGTTATATCTAACACACTCTCTCTGAGAGAGGCTCACCTCGACCTCGTCCTCCGTCATCTCCACACTGCTGTGAGAAACATGTCCTGTTAGCGTTAGCATTAGCAGCCTGATACTGGGAGGGTGTTTCAGTGGGTCTTTATTACTTGAGGTCAGGAATCGGATACTTTCCGATTCCTGTTATAATATTAAAATATTGATTCCTCTGTGTGTATTTCAACATAAGTGTAAAGCGCTGGAGAGACTGTCCTCATGTGTATCAGTGTACTGGACCTGTGCAGCTCTTAAAGTGACAGCGCTCATATTCCTGCCGTCTCTATAACACTAATCACACAACACAAGACAGAGAACACACACTAGTTCTTCACTGAATAACTTTTGTAACTATATCTGTAATGTATATTTTATTTATAAAGTGCAGTGTTATTTTACATTTGATTACAGTTTCTGAACCTGAAAATCTTAAAACACTGTTTAATCCAATCATATCTTTGTTGCGATTGCTAATGTTTTATGTGTTCTTGTTTAATGACTGAGTGTTTATTGTGTGTAATAATGCTGAAGTGTGTATTAGTTGGGCTATTTGTTCTTCTATGGTGTGTTTAAACCTCAGGCAAACGCTGCTTGTGTAAGTGTTCTTCAGCTGATGATTTCTGCTCATGATATTCAGCTGCAGTTTCAGCTTTAGCAATAACACTAGATGTGAACGATATCTAACTTTTATTTTTACCTTATTGGAATCGAAAAGAATGGGAATCGATCAAATTCAAACGATACCCAACGCTAGTCTTTACCTCTTTAATCCCATTCTGTCCGTGACGGATAACTTCTCCCAGGACGCCGCCAGCAGGTTCTTTGAGTTTGGATCTGTTTAGTGTGAACAAAACCAACTAAAGTTAGTGTTTATATCAATATGTTAGAGTTCAAAACTGGTACTATGTTTAAAATAAAACCTAAAACTAAGTGTGTGTGTGTCGTACCGTCATCGCTGTCGTCACTGTCTCCCAGTATTCCAGTATAATCATTCATTAATCTGCTGATAAAACACACTGAGAAACCAATAAAACACAATGTAATTAGAGTTTCTTCCTACCGTTTGTGTCGTGTCCGTTCAGAGACGAAGAGTCAGTCGTAATCTTCTTAGCGCTTAGCCAACGACATGAGAGATTGCAGGAGGAACCGGGTGTTTAAAGAGCCTGAAAATCACTCATCAATCATCACACAAAC